GCCCCGTCCCTGTGTGCGGAGCAATGTCTGTGTCTATAAGATCCAGTCTCCTTTCAAGAGCCTGTCCCTGCCTCAGACTCTGTTCTCACCAGCAGAGCCGCAACCTGCCTGCAAAACCTATCACTGTCTATGGCAGATCCTCTGGCTGGCTGGCTGGCTGCATGGCCTGGTTCTAACTCCGTCTGTTCGCCGAGGACGTCCCTGTGTCCAAAGCCCATCCCTGCCCACAGAGATCAGTCCTGTTTCAAGAGCACACCCACAGGTGACAAACCACGTCCCTGTTTGCCAGGCCTCTGTGTGGGCTTCTGCAGTCGCTGTCCTGGCTCATGGGCGTTTGTGGTTTATAGAGCCCTCCTAAGGACCGGCAGGCGAAGGGCTAGGAGGAGGGTGCTTCGGAGAGCTGTAGGCAGGGCGAGTCCTTGCTTGGAGGCCAGGTTCTGAGAACTCTGGCTCTGGTTTCCTTCCTGGCTCCTGTCTGGCCTAGGATGGACATCGGGAGCCTTCCAGACATCGAGAGCCACAGGGACCTCCACATCTGGATCATTGAGGTGAGGGGCATGGCCGGCCAGCAGTGTTGGCCCCAGAGGGCCGGGGGGGCGGGGGGGGGGGCGGTTCTCCTGAGTTGTCACTAGGCACCTTCCTCTCCCAGAACCTGAAGTTGGTGCCCGTGCCCGAGGAGGCTTATGGGAACTTCTTTGAGGAACACTGCTACGTCGTCCTCCACGTGAGCACTGGGGAACTGGGGAGTCTGTCGGAGGCGGGGGGCATGGCCCAGGTGAGGAGTCTGTTGGTGCAGAGTAAGCCCCGCCCTGGGAAGAGGCCTGCTGGAGTCCCGTCCCACAGGGGCTGCTGCCTCGGAGGCCTCTGAGCCCTCTCCTCCCCGTCCTAGGTCCCCTGCCCACGCTCCCCAAGGCCCTGGGCCCATCTTGGGCCTTCACCTCAGTGTTCACTCATGCCTTAGCCCTCTGCCCCTCCCCACCCTGGAACCTCAGCTCCTTCCCCACCCCTCAAACTCCTGGGCCCTAGGTCCCCCAGAGCCTGAGGGCCACACAGGGGACACCCAAGGACCTGCACTACTGGATCGGAAAGAAGGCAGACGCAGAGGCGCAGGGCGCGGCGGGCACCTTCGTGCAGCACCTCCAGGAGACCCTGGGTAACGCCACCGTGCAGCACCGCGAGGTGCAGGGCCCACGAATCCGACTGTTTCTGCAGTTTACTTCCGCCCAGGGGGTCATGTGAAGTTTTAGCCCGCGTCCATTGTTGTGTACAAAGTTTTTGTGTGGGACGCATGTTTTTCATTTCTCTTCGGAATACACCCAGGGAGTGGACACCCATGTTCTGAGTTTGCTTCTGTGTTACTGTGCCTAGAACAAACATGTCTTTTGCTGTCAATATGTACTGAGTTTAATAGTTTGCAATATACGAGGTTGAACCATAGGGAAATGGCCCAATATTTGATCATTTTTGTTTTTATACCATTGAAACCCTAATCCATGCATATAGTGTATATATAAACACAATACACACGTGTGTGCGTGCACATGCAGGAAATGTGCCACTTCTAAATATGTTCACCTACAGATGGGCATACCCACACACACTCATGAATACCTCAGTAAAATGTGGTCATTCATATATCAAGTGTTACATAATTCCATTTATATGAAATGTTCACCTACACTCGTATATGTTGTTGCCCGTATTCCACACACTCACAGCTAAACTCACATGGATGAACAGATACACATTATGCCCCCGCAGGTATACATGTATATATGCATGCATGCGTCCACATATTAACACATGGATAAACACATACACACTGTTGCTCCACATGTAGCCATGTGCTTGCACACATGGTCATGTCTACTTGCACACGTGTGTTAAGCACATGTGTATCCCCACTTGTGTGCATGCATGTGCTCATGTCTGCACTCACTCCTGCACATGGCAGTGTATGTCTTCCATGGACCCCATTCCCTCCTCAGCTACAGGAAGGGAGGCCTAGCCTCTGCCCTCAAGCATGTGGAGACCAACATGTGCAACATCCGGCGACTGCTGCGCATCAAAGGGAGGAAGCACGTATCAGCCACTGAGGTGAGGACACCAGGGATGCCATGGGCCTCTGGGTCAGCTCGGACTTCGTGCACTGAAGCATAGGGACATGCGGAGGGTGCCAGGGGATGGGGGAAGGGGGACCATGGGCTGTCATCATTCCCCGATGAGCTATCAATTTTCCTAAATTTATTTTTCAATTGCAGTTGACGCACATATTATATTAGTTTCAGGTGCTCAACATAGTGATCAGACATGTGTGTGACTTAAAAACTGATAAGGCCTATCTTGAATGAGGAGAGAGAAGGCAGAGCCAGGCTTTAGGGGTGGGGACCCCTGCCATGGCTCCCGTGACCCTCAGTTTCTCCATCATCTCGTGGCCATATTAAGAAGTTGGGGTGGGGAGAGGGGCGAGGCAGACAGGATGGTGCACCTGGAAGGTCCTTATAAGCAGTGCCAGGGGAAGAAGCATGGTTTGGGGTGGGGTACACAGCCCCACACTCTCATACACGTTGTCACTGTCACCCAGAGGCACACGCACTGTCTCCCACTGTTCCCCTGGGGCCACTCTAGTCCGCTGGGTGCCCTTACGTCCATCTGTCTGGAAAGTATTGGGAAATACTGATCTTGGTAGAACAAGGCATTCTGCTGCCCTCTGGCAGGAGCCTGGTGTAATGAGCATTCAGGTGTTTGATGTCTATGATGGGACTGAACCTGAGCTGCACACGTTAATGCCTACATGGTATGTGGCAGCCCTGTGACTCAAAGACAATCCCACACAGGCTCACACACTGTCCCCCACAGATTCAGTGACCCACATCCCTGCTCATGCGGGGACACTATGCAACCCCATTCTTTGCCCCTTATCCGGGACTAATTGTTTACTCTCTGGATGGTAACTATGCTTACCCATAGATAACACACTGTTCCCCGCACAGACACACGGACACTGTCACCCATGAGCCCACACACTTGTTCTTATTTTGTGTTCCCCACATATGGACAAGGACATGTACACACATGGGTAAACATGCACACCCAAATTGTATACATGTGTGCACATGCAGCTACAGACATGCATTGAGTGAAAGGGTCATAGTCATGTCCACCCTGTGAAATGCAGCGTTCCCTACAGCCACCCGAGCCTAGTGATGCACACAGCCACAGAGTGGCCCTCAGGGTGTCATATGGTTACACAGATGGATGCCTGCACACCAGAATAGTAGTGTCATGGTCTTACATACATACTGTACAGTTGCACACAGCTTCATGTACACAAGTGACACACCCAAGCTATGCTCACACAGGTAGGGCCGGGCCGGGGAACCCCTCCACTCAGGGGCTGGAGGTCTGACACCCCGTCTCCCACCCTGCCCTCCTGGCTCTGGCAGGTGCAGCTCTCCTGGGAAAGCTTTAATAAGGACGACATCTTCCTGCTGGACCTGGGCAAGGTGATGATCCAGTGGAACGGGCCCAAGAGCAGCATTTCCGAGAAGGCACGGGTCAGTGTCTGCCCTGGGAACTCAGGGGTGCAGGAGGGGGGGAGGGGGGGCGGTCCTCCAGGGGCCCATTCTCCAGCCTGGCTCTCAGCTCCAACCTGAAAAGCAACTACTCAATGTGGGCGGAGTCCAGACCCTGCACTGGTGGTACCTCTGGATGCCAGGAGAAGAGGACACCCTCCCCCCACCCCTGGGAGTGGAGCGGTGACAGGAAGGCCCTGGGATGCTGTCTGGGGGGTGAGGGGCATGCTGGGAAGCCCTAACTGCCAGGCCCTCTCCCACAGGCCCTGGCCCTGACCTGCAGCCTCCAGGACAGGGAGCGTGCTGGTCGTGCCCAGATTGGTGTGGTGGAAAATGAGGCCAAAGCCTCTGGCCTCATGGAGATCATGGAAACTGTGCTGGGCCGCAGACTGGGCAGCCTGTACGCCGCCATTCCCAGCAGAAGCATTAACCAGCTGCAGAAGGCCCGCGTCCACCTCTACCAGTGAGCAGACCTTGGGAGTGGGCAGGGCGGGTAGAATAGGCCAGGCCTGCATGCCCACCGTCACAGCGATAGCACAGGGTCCCAGAAAGCCCTCCAGGAAAGGCTCATGGGCTTCTGGGGCAGGCCATGTGGGACCTTGGGCCAAACCTATACTCTTACGCAACTGCCTTAGAGAAACCCATTGTACAGACAGGGTGACTGAGGCCCTGAAAAGGCCCGGTAGTCGCCTAAGGCTCTACAGCTAGGCTGCAGTGAAATGAAGACTTCACCTCAAGGCCCCAGCCTCCGTGCATTTGCCTGGAGGTCAGGGTCGAGGTGGAGGGGGGTGGCGGGGGAGCGGGGGCTGAATGTGGCCAGTGTGGAGTCAGGCTGAGCTGGAGGCTGAGCTGACCACATCTGGATGCCTGCCCTCCAGTATCTACCAGAAGGATAAGGACCTGGTGATCCAGGAGTTGGCGACCCGCCTACTGACCCAAGACCTTCTGCATGAGGAGGTGAGGCAGGCCCAGCCCCAGTCACCCCATCTGTCCCCACCTACCCCACCGTCCCCTCTACCCAGCCTGGACCGCCTACCCACCAGCCCCACTCTCGCTGCCAGGAGTGCTACATCCTGGACCATGGGGGTTGTAAGATCTACCTGTGGCAGGGACGCAGGTCCAACCACCAGGAGAAGACCATTTCCTTCAGCCAGGCTCAGGTGAGGCTGTGGGGGCCTGTCTCCGAGGGACACAGCGCTGCCCTGGGTCCTGGAGGGGAGGCGGCCCTTCCCTGCAGTCTAAGCCGGGAGACACCCATGTCCTGGCTGAGGGAGGACATGGCCCTGCATGGATCTAAGCCGGGAGACACACCTCCCTGTCTGAGGGAGGAGAGACAGCTCTGCCCAGTGGTCTGAGGGGGCACAGGGCCCTCTCTGGGGAACTGGAGGCATGTGGTCTGCCCTGGGCGCCCCAATGTGGGAGGGGTGGGGCAGCCAGTTAGCACCCAAGTGTCAAAGGCCTATGTGGCCTTGCCTTGAGGTCTGAGGAGCTCCCCCCCTTTTCAAGGAGGGAAGACAGGGCTCTACCTGGGGTCTGACGGGTTGTCATGGCGGGGCCTTCCTGAGACCGGGCCTAAGGGACCCTGCATGTCCTCAGAGACCTCGGAGAAGTCTAGCGGCAGAGCCAGCTCCGAAAAGCGGGGCATGAGCTCGGTCAATGACTGCTGCTCAGGGCTCGGCTGGCCCTGCAGCCTGCGCGGCCGGTCCCCACGGGTGGAGCCAGGGAGCAGGGGACCCTCGGACATGGATGTCTCCTGGCTCCCGCCACAGGGCTTCATCCAGGCCAAGGGCTACCCCACCTACACCAACGTGGAGGTGCTGAACCAGGGCGCCGAGTCCGCCGCCTTCAAGCAGCTCTTCCGGACCTGGTCTGAGGAGCAGCCCAGGAGCAAGAACCTGGGACTGATCCGTGAGTGGGAGGGGCGGGACTGGGGGCGGGACTGGGGGCGTGGTTAGGGGCGGGGCTTAGGGACTTCACCCAGAGCCTAGGCGGGATGGGCGAGGGGCCGTTGCCTGTGGGCGTGGCCTGTGGCGGGATAGACGATGGGGCGGGGCCTGGAAGCGAGGCTGTAGGGCGGCATCCAGAGCCTGGGCAGAATGGGTGAGGGGCGTGGCCAGTGGGCGTGGCCAGTGGGCGGGATGTGCGAGGGGGCGTGGCCGGAGGAGGCCTCTTGAAGGATGGGTGGGTCAGGTGGAGGCCGATGAGGGGGCTTGTGGGGCCTGGACATCCAGCAGGCGCCTGTAACACCCTGTGCCCCACCCTCAGGTAAATTGAATCAGGTAAAGCTGGACGTGGTCAAGCTGCACAGCCAACCTGAGCTAGCCGCCCAACTCAGGATGGTGGATGACGGCTCTGGGAAGGTGGAGGTGAGGGGCACGGGCTTGGGGGGGTGCGAGGAGAGGGGGAAATGGGCACACAGCAGGGGGGAGGCTTTGTCTTCAGGTGAGCAGTATGGCTGCTTAAAGCGACCCCGCTACTCTCAAATACACATCTACACACAAAAGGGACACTCAGGGGCGTGGGTACATATGCACACAGCCTCCCGACAGCGCATTCATATCATGCCTAACCATCATTCACAGACATGGCCACTCGCTCACATAACACTCACAGGAACCCTCGGACACTTACTTGTGCCCTCGGGTCATAGGTATGACAGCCAGACCTCTGATAACATAGACACACACCTTGTAATTGCACTTAATCACAACCCAGTACACAGCGACGAGAATCAACTGCACCAATTCTACTTCACACAGGATTGGTCACATACAACCATGAACCCACAGGGACACAACCACACAGGGCCACAGTCCCAGGATCAATCATAGCCCCCCAACCCAACCCCCAACACACAGTCACACACCGTCAGCCTCTCTGCAAGAGGCAGGATTCTGGATGCTCTGGTCTGAGGAACCTTCCCAGTGGCAGCTATCAGGCCCTGTGTGGGCACAGGATGCCCAGGCACTGTCCCTGTCCAGGTGGGCGCTGTTAGCCCCACCTTCGGGTGGGAAAAACTGAAGCTCACCTAGGCTGACTGGGATTTGACCAGGTTTGCCTGGTTCCAGAGCCCGTGCTCACTACCCACGGGAACAAGAAATCACGCTGTTAAGTGTGAGGAAGTGTATTCATTGCGGTCTTTGAACAGGCTTTGTGTTTTCAAGTGACTCTTGAAAAGGGGAATTTTTCCCAGAGCCCTAAGGACTTGCTCCTGCCCAGCTTCCGCTGCGCTGGCCTGAGCAGCGAGCAGTTCTGCCAGGACCTGTCCACCCCTAACCCGTGCTGTGGCTGATGGGGTCAGGCTGCGGGTGGTGTGGGGCCGGGGGCAGGTCAGCCTTGGCAGCCTCTGGAGTCCTCACCACTTGTTTGTCCTCAGACTCCTGGCTGAGAACAGCCCGGCACAAGTGTGGTGGGTCCCAGGGCCCCACGGGGGAAAGGGTGACCTGCAGATCCTTGCACAAGCCCAGCACAGAGCATGGGGTGGGTGCAGAGTTGGGGGCGAGCCCCTTGCCTGCATAGATGAGGCTGAGAGCTTCCTGGCCAGGCACCAGGTGAGTTGGGATGGAGGAGCCACCTGTGCCCGTTGGTCCCTGTTTCCCAGGTGTGGTGCATCCAGGACTTAGGCAGGCAACCTGTGGACCCCAAGCTCCATGGACAGCTTTGTGCAGGCAACTGCTACCTTGTCCTCTACACATACCAGAGGATGGGGCACATCCAGTACATCCTGTACCTGTGGCAGGTGCGCAGGCCCCGGGAGGGTGGCGGTGGCAGGCACCTCCCAGCCTCAGAGCTGAAGATCTGAGAATGGGATGTAAGAGTTGCTCCAGGCCCTCCCCGCCCCCCACCCCCTGTCTGCAGGGCCACCAGGCCACCAAACAGGAGATAGCGGCTCTGAACGGCAACGCCGAGGAGCTGGACCTCATGTACCATGGAGCCCTGGTGCAAGTGCACGTGACCATGGGCAACGAGCCCCCCCACTTCTTTGCCATCTTCCAGGGCCAGATGGTGGTCTTCCAGGTAGGACCCACCTTTGCTGCTGTGGCCACAGCCTCATGGCTCCTCCCTGGGCCGGCGACCCTTCTATCTACATGTTATCCCCTCTCAGGCCAGGGCCCAGTTGACCCCCGCCCCCACTCTGGTTTCTTGGTGCTTGTCCAAGGCCCAGGAGCTCCAAGGGTGATGATCCCTGCCCAAGTTTCTCCCCGCAGGCCTCAGAGCCAGCCACAAAGCTGGAGCACAGGGGAGAAAGTTTAATTGAAAGCTGGGACCTTGCCTGGGATCACACAGGGAGGGAAGCTGGTGCCCACTTTCTGCCTGCAAGCCTGGGGGAACTGTGTTGTGCCCTGACTCCTTGGAGATGGGGTGAGGGATCCATTGAGAAAGGCTTGGTTCTTCTACACTTGACAATGGAGTCCTCACACCCCCACACCCAGAGGGTCCAGGAAAGCAGTGGTCCCTGGGCCTTGAGGCAGTTTGTCCCCTGCTGGGTCAGCCCCTGGGAGCCCTTGCCGAGCTGAGGCCCAGCCCTCCTGCAGGGGAGCACCCAGCACAGTGGGAAGGGGCAGCCAGCACCCGCCACGAGGCTGTTCCACGTGCAAGGCACCGACAACTACAACAGCAGGACCATGGAGGTGCCGGCCCGGGCCTCCGCCCTCAACTCCAGTGACATCTTCTTGCTGGACACAGCCAGCATCTGCTACGTCTGGTTTGGGAAGGTACCGCCAACACTGACCACTCGGGCCCCGGGCAGGGGTGCCAGGCAGGGATGGGGCCCCTCCCCAGGGGATGCAGACTTCTGTCCAACCTTCGATGGGCCTGGAGCGGGTGGGGGAGATGCGTCTCCTCTGGAACCTGGGGGAAGTTATTAAGTGACAGGAGGGTCTGGGGCTGCACAGGCTGCCTCCCCTCCCTCCCGCCTGGAATAGGGAGCCTCCCCTTTCTCACATCTCCTGGGAAAAGGAGGAGGCCTTTGCCAGAATTTTCTCTGATCTTCAGCCTAAACCATAAATGACCCCCAAGCCTGGGAGTCCCCAGCCCGTGCTCCGGACCCAGAGAAGGCCCCAGCCCCTGTGATCCTGACCAGCTGGGGAGACAGAGGCCAGGAGGGGCAGGAAGGGCGATCCCTTGTTAGCACCTGTTCTCCCATCAGCATAGGCGTCCTGTGACTCGGGCCCCTGTGAGTGGGCGGCTGTGGGGCGGGCGGTGAAGACCCCTCCCCTGCAGGGCCTGACCCAACTATTTGCCTGCCAGGGATGCAGCGGGGACCAGCGTGAGATGGCGCGGAGGGTGGTCACCATCATCTCTGAGAACGAGGAGGACAAGGAAACAGTGCTGGAGGGTCGGGAGCCTCCCCACTTCTGGGAGGCCCTGGGAGGCCGGGCCCCCTACCCCAGCAACAAGAGGTGACAGGGTGGGGAGGAGGTGGTTCTTACACAGAGGATGAATCTGAGGCCCAACGAGGGTGGGCTAGTTCAGGGTCACACATGGAGGTGGAGGAGCCAGACTAGAACTGAGGACTCTTGGCTGCCCACCCCAGGGGGTCCCAAGAGCACAGCCCCCTCCCGCTTCTCTCCCCAGCCCTGGGTAACTTGCATCTGGAAGATGCAGAGCGGGCAGGGCAGTGGTGCCCTCTGCTGGTTGAATGTGCTCCCTGCATGGTCCCAGTCCTGGACCAGAGGCAGAAGCCATTCCCCAACCCCACAGTCCCCAAGAAGGTGGGGCTGTGTGTGTGTGTGTGTGTGTGTGTGTGTGTGTGTAGTGTGCAAGGACAGTGTACATGCGTGGTGTGTAAGTGCACAAGGGTGTGTATCAGGGAGGAGGGAGCTGAATTCTGGGCCCTTTGTATTGTCTGCAGGACCCGGTTTATGCCCCTCACTCCCCCAAGTCTCCTGAGCTCCTAAGTAGCACTGTCCCCCTCTCTCAGCCTATCTTCCCTCCTCCCGCCTTGGGCCTGAGGCTGATCCCATCCAGGGGTGGGACCAGGGGCTCCTCTCTGCCAAAGACGGCAGGGCTCCAGCTTAGGCCACCCCACGCAGCCAGTGTCCCTTTCTGGTGCCCACTCCTGGGACACTTCATGGCACAGCTTGTGCCACAGCTGGCTGGAGCTATACAATCACCCAATCTGCTTTCCCCACTGACAGACTGGGACACGCGGCCCAGAGAGGAGCAGGGCGGGTGGACTCAGAGGAGGGCCAGCCCCGGGGGTAGGAGCCCCTGTGCTGAAGGCTAGCTCGGCCCAGGCCGTACCCCTCACAGCCTTGTGCCCACACTGGCCAGCCTCCCCGAGGACGTCTCCGGCTTCCAGCCACGGCTATTTGAGTGCTCCAGCCAGCATGACCACCTGGTCCTCATGGAAGTGGTGTTCTTCAGCCAGGAGGACCTGGACAAGTACGATGTCATGTTACTAGACGCCTGGCAAGAGGTGAGGTGGCCACCCCTGGCCTACTGGGTATGTCGTATCTGTGTAACTGGGTGTGAACGTGTCTGTGTGTGTTCCTCACCATAGGAATACACGTGAGGCTGCAGGTGAGTCTGTGCAACATGACACTGAGTGTGTGACTGTGTGACCAAGGGTGTGAGACCAGGCATGACTGTCACAGCCAGCCTTTGGGAGACCATGACTGTGGTCTGGAACGTGTGTGCGATTGTGTCTGGCTTTGTCATTCTGTGTAACCCCCTCTGCCTTCAAATGGTATGTGGCTCCAGCTGACGGCCTGGGGCTGATATGTGTCTATGTCAAGTGAGCAACTGTCAATTAATTGAATGACTGACCATGTGTGATGTGAGATGCATTTGCCTCTGGGTATATGGCTGTGTGGAATGGCTGCGTGGTCAAGTTACTGCCTGTAACTGGCCAGACCAGCCACGACCGAGACTGTGTGTGTATGAGACTGGCGGGCTGTGGGTGTGACCGAGTGACTGTATTTGGGTGGCTGGGTAATTTCTGTGCGGCTATATGCAACCGTGTTTTGGGCTACCTGTGTTTTTCAGGCTGGATGTGTGCGCCTGTGTCATCGAGTGCGATTGTTTTTATGCGCAGCTGGGTGTGACTATGGGTGACAGTGGGTGGCCGTCTGACGGTGGCGATGGATAATTGTGTCTGTGTAGCTGTGATCCTGTGTGTGTGTGTCGGTCACAGTCTATGACACTCTGTGAGTGTGATGAGGCTTGTAGACCTCCCTGTCACTCAGAGCAAAACCAAAGCCCCTGCTACAGCCCGGCATGGCCACACACACACACACACACACACACACACACACACACACCACGTGCCTACCCCACCTCGGCCGCGGTGGCCTCTGGGCTGCTCCTCAGAGATGCCGGGCAGGCTCAGGCCTCTGCACTGGTCGTTTCTTCTGGTTACACTTTCTCCCCAGACATACACGTGACTTGCTCCCTCACCTGGGGATCTTGATTCAAATGTCATCTTCTCAGGGAGGCTCCCCCTGACTTTAATTCAAAGTTACGCTCTGTCTACCATCACCACACTTGCATTCGTTCCGTGCCTTATTTTCCTCCATCTGCTATATGACATATTTTTCTGTCTCCCCCAGTAGAATGAAAGCTCTGGTAAGAGCAAGGATTTTTGTCTATTTTTCTCTCACTATTGACTCCCCTGGCCCACCACAGGTACCCAGTGAATATGTGTGGATTGAATGCATGTAGACACATATGCTTGTGACCTTCTGGAGTGTGTATGGGTGTGGGCCTGGCAGCCAGCCTGCTGTGTGTCTGGTATGTGCTTTGGGGGCTCTGAGACCACCTGACGGGCAGGGGTGGGAAGGATGCGGTCAGCTCTGGCAGCCCCTCCACCCGCCTCTGTGGCCCAGATCTTCCTGTGGCTCGGGGAAGCAGCGACCAGGCAGAAGGAGCAGGCGGTGGCCTGGGGCCAGGAGTACCTGAAGACCCACCCGGCGGGGCGGAGCCCGGCCACGCCCATCGTGCTGGTCAAGCAGGGCCATGAGCCCCCCACTTTCACTGGATGGTTCCTCACCTGGGACCCCTACAAGTGGACCGAGAGTGAGGTCTGAACCCCCAGCCCCACCCTTATCCAGGGGAGGGGGGGCTTGCCCTCTGCGGACTGAGAGGAGGCCTTGCCCTGCCTGTGGGTTGGGAAGACGGGGTCTTGTCCTCAGGCCCCTTGGGGTCCCCTTGGTGCCCTTCCCTCTCACTCCCACTCTGATTCTCGCCCCCAGAACAACCAGTCCTACAGGGAGTTGGTGGAGGGCAGCCTGGAAGTAGTGTCTGCTGTCGCTGAGATCACAGTAGTGAGTACTGGGGCCCCCCAGGCCTCCCCCCGGGGCTGCGCTCGGTTGGCATGGTCCAGATGGGCAGAAGGGGAGAGGGAGGAGCCAGGCCCTGGAAGGTGGCGGGG